ATTTCAAATTTTTGCGTTAAATTTTCAGTTTTCTGATTTCTCAATTAATCTATTTTTGATTTTCCCACTTCTCAAAGTTTCGATTTTTCAATACTTCGATTCTTTCATTTTTCGACTTCTAGATTTTTCTATTTTTTATTTTTGGATTTTCAGTTTTTTGTTTTTTATTTCAATTTCTCAATTTTTCAACTTTTTCATATTTTAATTTTTAAATTTCTAGATTTTTCAGTTTCTCGAGTTTCCAGTTCTATATTTTAATTTTTTAAATTTACGAATGTTTAAATTTTTTGAGATCTCAATTCATGGAGATTCGGATGTTTCGATGTTTTGATTATTCAATCTCTCGCTTTATCAATTTTTCCATATTTAAGTTTTCGATTTTGGCCTACTTTGGTTTCTCAATTTTTTGATTTTTCGACTTCTCGATTTTTCGACTCCTCGATTTTTTTTGTCTTTTGATTTTTCGATTTCTCGATGTCTCAATTTTTGAATTTTTACAATGTTTCGATTTTTCGATTTGTTGGTTTTTCGATTTTTTGCTTTTCGGTTTCTCGATTTTTCGATGTTTCGATTTTTGATTTTGTTGATTGTAGCTTACTAATTAATTGTTTTGATCCTGTTTTGAGGGGACGAAGTCATTCAAATCAAACTAATTTCTATGTGACATTCTTCCGATGTATAAACATAAACACTTGTTTTTCTTATCGAGGATAACCTAAGGACGTACAGTAACGCAATCCTTTGGGCAATTTGTTACTTTCAAATTTTCTCGATTTTTCGATGTTTCGATTTTTGATTTATCAAATTTTTCAATTGTCCAATTTTTTAAATTCTCGACTTCTCGATTCGTTGATTTTTCAGTTTTTCGATTATTAAATTTTAGATTTTTATTTTTATTTTTGATTTTTTGATGTTTGGATTTCTCCATTTTTCAGTTTTAGGATATTTTAACTTTTCAATGTTTTAAATTTTAGATTTTTCGATTTTTTAGTTCTTCAATATTTTTTTATTTTTCAAATTTTGACGTTTCTGAATTTTTAGTTTTCTGATTTCTCAATTAATCTATTTTTTTTATATTCCCATTTCTCCATTTCCTAAAGTTTCGATTTTTCAATTCTTCAGTTCTTCAATTTTTCGATTATTCAGGTTTTTGATTTTTCAATTTTTCGAATTTTTAAATTTGCGATTTTTAGACTCTGCTTTTTTGACTTTTTTGTTTCTCAATTTTTTAATTTCCTAATTTTTTGATATTTCGTTCAATTTTGTGATTTTTCAGTTTTTTGATTTCTCAATTTTAACTTTTCAATTTTTGAAATTATTAATTTTTTTCGATTTTTTGAGTTTTCAGTTCTCTATATTTCAATTTTTCAATTTTCGGAATTTTTAAATTTTCGATTGTCCAATTTTTTTTTATTTTTCGATTTTCCAATTTTTCGATGTTTCGATTTTTGAATTAACCGATTGTTCAATTTCTCGATTTTTAAATTTTAGGTTTTCCAATTTTAATTTTTTTGATTTTTTTGTTTCGATTTCTCGATTTTACAATTTTCTCATATTTGAATTTTTCAGTGTTTTAAATTTTCGATTTCGAGGATTTACTGTGTTACAGTAGTCATCAGTCACTACTCATCAAGAACGATTATTGTTGTGCGTTAAAATGCCTACATACTGATAAGCACTTAAACATACAAGACACATTTAAGGCTGTTTTAGTATAATTTTTGCAATTTTAAATTTATTTCTTGATGTCTAATCGTATATATTTAAATGGTGATGAATATTTTGTGATACAATCTTAGGATAAAATGCATTTTAGTTTCAAAAATAATATGTATTTAATGATTTGACTACTGTTAATAAAAAAAATACGTAAGAAGATGTTCATATTGAATTAATTTGGTGTTCATAGTTTGATGATAATCCATAGTTATTCGGGAGGCAAATTAGATGACTTGTTACTTTTTAATTAAAGTACTTGTCGTTTAATTTCGTATACCTTTAAAGTGGACGAAGGGACGCATATTTGTTAGCCAAGCAGTTCATGGATAATCGGTATACTGCGATAATATTAAATTTTTGTTACCTTAACCTTGAAACAGGTATGCACTACATACAGGGTGACTGCGAAATAAGTGCAAATATTTTAACCACGGCATCCCCCACCCTAGTAGAGCCGAAATATAGAAAAAAGAAATTAAAAATCGAATGGGGCAAAACCCCCATGAACCACCCTCGATACGAAGGCACTGAGCCACCTTGTAAACAGAGTTGGAAAAACGTTTGAATAAAAACGACCTAAACACTTTCAGTTTCAATTAAAAGTAAAACCGACTTTTTGCTGCTTATCATTCGTTCATTCATTTACTCATTCATCGTTAAAGGTCAGTGTGAAAGTTTTTTGGTAATTTTGATTCTGACGGATGTTTGGTCCTTGTCACAACGATTTTACGTTGTTTATTGGAACAGAAATAAGAGCAACTTAGAATGCTACTACCTTTTTACAAGAAATGTTGAAAATGTTGTCCTTGACTAGCAATACAGGCATCAGAGCGTCGCAAGAGGTTTGTTGATAGGTAAAAAAACACCGGAGTAGCGGGTGTCACTTTCACTTGTTGAAGCTCTTCGATAATTTCTGGACACTGTTGATTTCCACAAACGAACTGTTTCATCCAACTGATACACATTTATCGAAAACCGTCTCTTGAAATCGTACTTGTTGACGACTACGTGGAGTTCCATCGGACAAAAAGTGAGTTACACAAGGTGGACAATCAGCGGGCTCCAAACCCTGTACTTTGTCAACATGGTATGGATGTGGCCGTATTCTTTTAATGTAGGATGCACTACAAGCTGTGAAAATCCAACTTCTTCTTTCTGTCCTATCACGGCCACGATCGTGAGTTTGAGGTTGAAGGTACCATGATCTCGGAGATGCTGTACCACTGATGCACCCATTACCATATCGACACAATCTGCATGGGAAAACTGCACCATAAACCGATTTCACCGACCGCTCGATGCTAACTGGCCCTTTTCGTGTTTTTCACGTTGCGATTAAAAAAGTGCCTGATAAAGTAACTTTTTTGGTTCTTTAACCGACTCGCTCTGTTCCATTCATTGTAGTAATTATGTAGGTCACAAAACAGTCCAGCGGCGCGTACAACAATTTACATTGAATTTCAAATAATTTTTTCTAGACACTGCTACTACTTAGGACCGTGAATTTTACCCAGTGACATAATCATATTGTGAGCTATTCCCCATTTTTTTTTTGCATGTATTTCGCAGTCACCTTGTATACATATATTACAGTAAAGTCTTCAACACGTACGTTTGCTTATTTTGTGACTGCTCCCCGTACAACGTACTGATTAATACGTCCGTTTACTATCTTATCGACATCACGTGCTTACGGACTATTTTTACCCCCTTTCGTAAGGTACCGCCACTTCATAGTGAAGCGAGTGAGATGTAAAATATATATTCATTCTTTTCTACATGGGAAAGTGATTGTCCGTATAGGTTGTCCAACTATAACATACTTAAACAATGCTATTACCAACAGCTATTTTCACACAAAAGCCGTGGCCACAGATTACATACCCTTAAGGGTATGTAATCTGTGCCGTGGCATTTACCCCGTTGCCCCTAGAATATGAAAAACCAGGGCTCTCATTTCCGTCTATTTGTTGTCTGTGGTCTGGATAATTTCATTAGACAGATAATTTCTGAAAATACTGAACTGATTATTGCGAAATTATAAAATTTCACTGTAATCAGTCCATCACAATATTCCTAAAATGCATTTATATGCATTTATGTAGATAATAAAACTCTAAATAAAATTTGTCTTATCATTCCTATCAACACTTCGATGTCATCTCAGAATTTTGCTGAGTACCTAAATACAATTTAAATTTTATAAAAAATGTATACTTCTATACATATTTGTGGTTTATGAATCCACTGATTTTTACCCGAATGCGCTGAAATTTAGCAAATATTTTAAAGTTATTGTGAGCATGGGAAATCGCTAATCAAAATGTATCCGTTTATCACCTCAAAAAACTCGATGTAGCTATCCCAAAGGCAAAACAATTTTTTGGCATAAATGTTATCTAAAATGTGCAAAATATTACAACACGGTATTCTAAACTTGCAGTGTATGAATGCATTTATATATTTTGTAGAGATGTACCGACTGTAGGTCTGGCCGACTAACCGACTAGCCGATTGTTCGGCCAGTAAAAACCGACTAGTCGGCCGACTGTTCGGCTTTGCTAAAACCGGTTTATAAATGTGACAGTGTGTTTTTTTTTTCTATTTCTCTGACTACCATAAATTTTTGTTTTATTTTAATAAAAGGGATAACTAAAGTTCCTTTGTTTTCCAAAACATGTGTTAAATTTGTTTGGATAATTTTAACATTTAATTTTTTTTAGTAACTCAGTACAAAAATAAACAATAACACAATTTAGGGCCGGTTTATACAATATTTTACGTAACTGAGATTAAGTTGATCGCGCATTTAACAAGGCCATTAGCGACGTCTCATTGGCGTAGAGTCAGTCACATGGTACTTTAACACGGGGTTAAAAATTAAATCGCAATTAAATATTTAATTGAGGTTCTGTAAACCGAGTTTAATTGTTTTATATACTACTTTAATTTTAATAAAAAATAGTCGACCGATCGGCTGTTTAGCCGACCAGTCGCCGACTGCAGCCGACGATGAAAAACGGCCGAATAGTCGGCTTATCCGACCGGTCGGCCACTAGTCGGTACATCCCTAATATTTTGTTAATTACTTATACAGGGTAACTACAAAAATAATTAGACCAATGTTTATCGACTGTTTAGTTATTATGTAATAAATTTCCACCGAATTTCATGTCAAAAAGGAAAACCGTCCCAACTATCACGACCATGAGGTATCATTCTGTTGCCATGGAAACACGACCGTAATTGTTAGCTGTCAGTTCTCCACTGCCTCTGCGAGTTCGAAAAATGGAAGACATAGTTTCAGATATTGACATTTTGCCCTATCTAAAACAACTTGAGCAAGAAAACCAAGAAGAAGAACTAGAAGATGAAGAAATCAGATACCACTACATCGAAATCTTGGACGCCCCGCGGGACTTACCACCTCCCGTGGAACTCACCCTCAAGGACCTCACCCACCTCGCCAAAGAGCTTGGCCTCATAAAGCTCTGCTGGCCCGAAATCGAGAACGTCGAATTTGAAAACAGAGTGAATTTTCCCGAAAGCTACTTAACCAACTCCAACAAAGAAAAGCTGCTGTTGCTTTACACGGAAAACTTCCGGAAGCAGTTCAGTTACAAGTATCCTAACAGGAAGCAATTATTCCTAGCCAGCAACAACGAATGCGGAATGCAGGTACAGTAAATTTCTTGGACGGCGTGGCAGTTTGCACTGAATTACGGTAGATGGAGCGAGAGTTCATATCCTGATGGCGTATTTTTCAAATTTCAGAAAATGGTTTGTAACACGGTTCGGCCCACAACTCTTCCTTATCCGGAAATTGAAAGCTGGAAGGACTGCGCGAAATTCGTGGGCCAAGGGGTCAGGTTTGAGCCGTTTGATATTCCCACTTTAATCGTGAGTACAGGTTTTTCTGAATTTGTAGAGTTATTGGACGAACTTTTCTCGGTAAATTTTAATTGATGTTTCGCAATGTCTACGCGTTCCAATTTTTTTGTAATTAAAATCGCACACGCATCTCGGAGATGCGAGGAAAAAATATCTTGTTAAATAAATAAGACGAAATAAATTGCTTCCTTAAAACGAAAAAGGAATGAGATACAATCGTATAGCACCTGTTTATTATTGAAAGATGTTATGTAACGGGAGAGTTTCTTTATTACAGCATTGATAATATGGCTTCCAGTTGAAGTCTAACAGAAGATATAATTTTATAATTGTAGAAAACGTGAACATTAACGTTTTTCTCTTGATATTGCTGGGCATCTCTTCAGTTTATCGGTTTATTTAACGCTAAACTCAAAATATTATGTTTTTGTCACTATGCTACGTATAATGGTATATATATGGACTACTATAAGTGAGACTAAAGTCAATAATGGACCTCAACGAATATTTAACGGCGAGATATTTTTATTCCACCTTCATGAAAGTATGCTTTTTTCACTTTTTTTGTGAAACTTCAACTGCATCGGTTGAAAAAGTGACCGTTGATCGCCTGAAACTGTGTCCTGTGTAGCGTTCTCGGTTTGATAGGTTAAGGAAATTTGCTGGTTGAACAGTATACGTCCCTTCAATTCTGCCATCCTGCACATAGAAACAAAAACTTTATTTAATAAAAATACGGGGAGGTTAGACTGTGTATAAAATATTAAAATAAAATATAATACCTCATTAGACTAAAATCTAATAAAAAAATTAGGTGCTACCCAATAGCCGAATGGATCAAACAAACATCAGAAAAATTTATAGAGTTGTTGCCCGCAGTTTCGCTTGCGTGGATTTCGCAATTAGGACACATCATTTTTCACCCCGTTCACTCCCACATCCCCAGTGAACGTATCTGACTTACCCGTTTTTTACCCCCTTAGGGGAGGAATTTACAAAAATCCTTTCTTAGTGGGTGCTTATAACAAAAAAGGAACCTATTGTCCCAATTTCAGGTTTCTAGCTTCAGTAGTTTAGGCTCTGCGTTGATGAATCAGTCAGTCTGTCAGTTAGGACAAACACTTTTATATATTAAGATTATCAGGTACGAGGGAATTTCTGTCTAAATAACCTTAGAGCAAATTTTTATTCTTCAACATCTACGGGTAAGCTAGAAAAAATTTGTGTTTGGCATACAACCTTGCGTCGATCTTCTTTTTGCCCCGATCTCTTGTTTTTTACTTGTTCATTTTTACTCTTTGTTTCATCCTATGTTATTTCGATATTCAGAATATGTTGTTTAATTTTCATTTATCTCTTGGATTCACAATATCGTTCTACTGACTATCCGTCAAATTTTACTGAATTCATTAATCATTTTAAGTAAAAATAGTAGAAATTGTCTTCAGCATGAAATAATGCAGCTACAAAATGGTTCCTGTTAAAAAAAATACCTAATCTGTTCGGAAGAAATTAGAATATGTTCGTCCAAAACAGAAACTCGGTTTCTTCCAAAAAAGATAAAAGACATAAACTATTAATTACGTATACATTTTTCAAACGCAACTAAGTTTCCTTATAAAATGATGTTGGAACTTCTGTCGAGATAATAATCAATTGGATTCTTAATAAACTAGAAATAAATATTAAAACATCAAATTTATCCGCTCAGTTCTACTTTTGCGAATGCAACTAAGCAGATATTCCGAATACCTGCCTCGTATTTCTACATCTATGGGTCATTCCATTCCATAAACAACCACCTTATCTTAACCGCTAAAATTTTAAACAACCATTTACCATTAGTTTCTTCGGCACGAGGGTATCTAGAATGTACAAAAATGAAACTGTTAAAGTTTCCAAAGCTGACTGACAAAGAAAATATAGAAATCTTGAAGTGAAATATGAGACGGCACTACAGATTGAAAAATACATATAAAAATTTCGGCGACGGTCTGGAAACTTGGGGTTCGTGTCTACGTAAAGCTCGAAATTCTAAATTAACTGCTACCAGTCCACCGGTTCGAGATTCCCATATCTCGTTTTGCGTACAGCTTTCCAAATCAACATTCGTTTTTCCTCGTCTAGCTTTGGTTTCCATTTGGTACTGACACACAGAGATAGACGGAGATTAAAATCAAAATAATAGAAGTTAAAACACGTGTAACACCTACCACCAGAATATAGATGGAATATAGAATATAGAAACGATTTTGTGAAGCTAGAAGAAATTTTCTTGATATTTAACCTTCAGATGATTCAAACGCCATATCAGCAATAGTAGCAATATCGAATTGGGGAATTAAGGGCACTTGCTCACAACTCAGCACTTTCAGGGTTAGAAAATTTAAATGCTGTTTATTTTCTCGTGCAAACCAAGTACGAACGTTTTTCCAACTACATCCTTAAGCATCTTCTCGTCTACGAATAAGTACACTTTATCATCGTGACATGTCCCTCAGTATACTGCCGTTTTACGATCCACCAACACCGCTTACCCCATCTGTTTATCTAGCGATATTTTTCTATTGACAAGTTTATCTTAAAAGTTCATATAGTCGATAGGTTTACGTCGCGTGGGAATCGAAATTAGAGGATGAATGCACTCCGTTATTTGATAATAATCGTTTTCACGTCCGTTTCTGGCAATAGGCAAAGAAATCGCCCACTTTCGGCCATTATCCTGGTTGGTCGCATACATTCAATAAATCCGTTAGAATATCAGCCCGTGACAAGTGGGCGAGTTTTGAAACGATTTATTTGCGTTACCTATCTCAGCATCGTAGGTACGCAATGAAATATGTCTTTTCAACGATGTGGATGTTTGCGGCCGATGTAACTAATGATGTATTAATTTGAATTAACCCCGCGGCACACTCTCTGTACCGATACGTATCTGATTACCATTGTTCGGTTCGAACGACGCCCTATCTGGAGATTTATTGCCGGCAAATGGAGTTTGATTTTCAGCAAGAACTCGACTTCGGGGACCAAAGTTATGAATTTCGATCGATGGGAGACGTTTCTTTAATTACCACTCGTTTAACGCCCACAGCAAGAAGTGTGGAAACGATTTTCAGACCGTATGGATTTGTTTAATTTTAGTGTTTGCATTATATGAGAGCTGAATATCTAGAAATGAAGTTCGATAAATAGAATAAAAAAAAAATTCTAGCCCTATCATTATTGTTACAGCTTCCTTTATATTTCTAACAGAGGATCTTATGTGTGTTTTTGCTTATATAATTTTGATTGTAATCTTTAATCTAAGTTAGGAGATCGAAAGCAAAGTTAGAGAGGAAAACGACCATTGTACTTCCCGAGCGTAAGCGAAGGAAGTATTGCAATCGAGTCCTTCGACCGACGCTCTACTTTTACGTTTTCTCGACCTTTCCTGACCCCTAGAGTACGAAGAAATAGGTCTTCCGTTTCCGTCTGTCTGTCCGTCTATCTGTCTGTCCGTCTGTCTGTCGTCCCGGATTTTTATTAAACAGAAAATACTTGGCCGATTGTTGTCAAATTTTGTATTTATCTTAGAAATATCATGTAGGTGGTAAAACGGTAATCAAAATTTCTATAGTCATCCCCACCAATAATGTGATGACGTCACTTCAAAATTGCACGTAGTAAATGGGTTTTAAATCGTATAAAATAACATAGCCCTAGACATCTAATTTATGATGCCGTGTTCAATTTTTACCCGAAATGTCCAGATTTTTGGAAAAAAATCAAAATTATAAAACAACATTCTGTAATGTACTTTTGAATCTGCAACACCAAATGCTTTGAAATCTTGCAGATGTTTTAAAGGTATGATAAGCATGATAAATTTTTAATCAAAATATATTTGCTTATCCCCTCCAAAAAATTAATGACGTTAACTCCAAAATAATTAATGAATGCGTGAATTTATTTTATGGATTTAATCAAGAACTGCAAAACCGAAAGCTTTGAAATCTTCGAGATGTTTTAAAGTTATCATAAACATGGTAAATTTTTTATCAAAATGTATTTACTCATCCCCCCTAAAAAAGTTGATGACGTCATTTCAAAATTTTGCCGAATAAATCCTATCTAAAATGTGCAAAATATGATCAGTCTATACTTGTAATTTATCATTGCATTCATATTTTTTAGATTTGCTTATACAGGGTGACTCAAAAAGATTAATAAATAAGTCAATTTATTTTAGTGGATAAATCAAGAATTTCAAAACTGAATACTTTGAAATCTTGCAGACGTTTTAAAGTTATTGTAAGCATGGTAAATTGTTAAGCAAAATGTATTTACTCATCCCCCCTAAAAAAAATTGATGACGTCATTTCAAAATTTTGCCGAATAAATCGTATCTAAAGTGTGCCAAATATGATCAGTCTATACTTCATATTTTTTAGATGTGCTTAAATAGTTGGCTCAAAAAAAATTAATGAATGAGTGAGTTTATTTTATTGAGTAAATCAGGAACGGCTCACTCCATTTTCCCAGAAAATTTTGGGAATACAATATTGTTATTTTTAGAATTACACTGCACCAATACACGTGTCCTTGCAAAAATTTTGATGACGTCATCGCAAAATTGTGTAAAGAAAAATCTCAAGGACTCTCGAGAATGTTGGACATGTTTCATTGTACTTTAGGAACGAGGGAAGTTCTGTCGAAAGAACTTTCGTCCAATTTTTTTTTATGTGAAACTCATATTTGGTTTACGTTCAGAAAATAACTTCAAGACGACTTGGTACTCTTGGTAGCACATCGACAATAACCTCGGATTTGCAGTGTTCTTTTTCACTGAGCTTTTGAAGCTTCAGCAGCTTATTTTTATACATTCGAGATGTTTAAAATTTTGGCAGTTGTAATAAAGGGAGTTGACGTTTATAATATGAAAGAACCCGCAGCTATATAAAGATAATACATCCGAAGCATCAATAAAATTTTACACTGTTAATTACATTCACAGCACAGTTGATACG